AGGTTCGTGGCAATCGTTCTTAGGTTGGAGGCCATCGCTCTAAGGTTGGAGGCGATCGTTCTTAGGTTGGAGGCCATCGCTCTAAGGTTGGAGGCGATCGTTCTTAGGTTGGAGGCCATCGCTCTAAGGTTGGAGGCTGTCGCTATCAGGTTGGAGGCCATCGATATTAGGTTGGAGGCTGTCGCTATCAGGTTGGAGGCCATCGATATTAGGTTGGAGGCTGTCGCTATCAGGTTGGAGGCCATCGATATTAGGTTGGAGGCTGTCGCTATGAGGTTGGAGGCCATCGATATTAGGTTGGAGGCCGTTGCTATTTGGTTGGAGGCCGTCGCTATATTTGGTTGGAGGCCGTCGCTATATTTGGTTGGAGGCCATCGCTATTAATTGGAGGCCGTTGCTTCTATAGGTTGAATAGAGAGTTATTTGTTCAAAACAGACAATTACCTTTCGGGTCCTTAGACCGACCTTTTTCCTGTCCTTCCTTGTGTCTATGAAAGCGCACTACAGTATGCCCAGCATGACACAGTGCAGGCTGCCATTGCTGATTACAAGGAGAAGCAGAGTGTGCAGAGTGTTTCCCCATGACCTGCCAGTGACTGCCATCGAAAGCGTTCCAAGCCAGTCGTTTCCCTTTGTACAGGGCGGGCGCAGGAGCATCTCATTGAGCCAAGACACATCGAAGAACGTCTTGTGGACGCCAGAGTTCAAACGGACACATCAACCGAGTCACTTGTTTCATCGGTGTTTTGTTTTCACTTGTTGAGTCATGTGTTTTCAAACGTTCAGCTTGGAGAAACAAGACAAGTCACAATTCAATCGACAGACTTGGCCATCGAACTCATGCTCAGCTCGAGCTGTCAATCAATCCGATTGACAAACCTGCATGCAATGCAATACCAACACAAAAAGGCCTAGACTGTTGCACATGCGAGCATGTTTGTCAGACTTTTGCTTTTTTGCAAGGCCTTCTCCCGCTCCTACTTGCTGTCAAGAGCGGATTCAACATCTGAAAGTAACTCGTGTTCAATGCTACTAGTAACAAGGGGCATCGCTACTACCAGCAAGAATGCTACTAATAACACGAAGCTACTAGATTGGGATCAGAACAGAGTATGACACCTCCTAATCATGCTTCAGTGTGAGAGGGTTGACTGCGAGACCGCAGTCCATATCAGTCCACAGAAGCAAGCAATAGTCAAGCTCCATTCATATTAACTAATAGCGATGCACTTGTTTCTACTAGCTTTCTTGTTACTACTTAGTAAGGCACTTGTTACTAGTAGTGATGCACTTGTTACTATATGATTGAGATCAAGGTAAATGCACTCTTGACTGCCACCTAGTTGGCCACGGCGCCAGAAGCATATGAATTTCCGTTGGGAAAGTATACAGATCCGTTGGCAGGCCATCATTTGCCTTCTGGATTTGAGGCACAGCCTTTCAACCACCGGTGGCATCGGTATCGATGTCACACAACACACAACCATGACTGACAATTGGTCGAACCATTCAAAGGCCTAGTGTGAACAGGATGAATGTGAGGATTACTCAGCTTTCAATTTCACATTCCGCTGCGACGAGTCATTGAGCACGAACCACCGTGTCGGGCCAGTCGAGGAATCTCACCACTTTTAGAATGAAAGGAGTCTGAGTCTAGTGAACGAGCAACATCTACATGTCTATGTGCTGCCAAGCTGGTCTTTGCTTAAGCCCGATCTAGATCGAGACTGTTTGTTTTCTGTGTTTTTGTGGTCAAAAGGAGTGCTGATTGTTTTATGTGTGCTTCAAACTTTGTTTTGGATCACCAGCGGGAGAGTACATCAAGGAGTCAAACGCATGCGGCATCATTGTGATCAAAGCACCCGCTTGAAGCCTATCATTAACCAGATGTAGTGGCCCTCACAGCTATGTTTGTAAGGCTAAGGTTGAATACTGTCGAACTCTGGCTCGTTTGAGAAGCAAACTAGCAGATTCCTACTGCTCTGGTAGTCCTAAACTACGTGAACTTAGAAACCCTTTGCAACGTGGCACTAGCTGCTGTGATGGATGTGGCATTTGTGCGGTCCAATGGCTCCACCAGCTCAACGCCAAGGCTTTCCTGTGTGAGCAACCTTTAGGAACTTTAATCGGAACCACCAAATAAGATGTTCTTATAGTTTAGGGGACAGTAAGTATGTTACACCCCCCTACAGCCACCTAGAAAAGAGCATGCTAGCAGTAATCCGTGAGGGCTGACTTTGTGCGTGAGGGCTGACTTTTTGGCTTTGAGCCCATACTTGGAACGTCAGTTAAGACCTACTAGTAGCTTCTTGCTACTACAGGTGAAACGATTCCCAAGGAAGCTTCTTGTTACTAGTAGCTTCTTGTTACTAGTAGTATGGCCAGGAGCGCCCCTAGTAGCTTCTTGCTCCGTTCGTTGCGATGCCCTTGTTCCTGGAGGCAAGACTGCAAATTTCACCGATTGTGCCTTGGACGTTGTGTTACTTGTGTTGTGACCAGATTTGCACGATTTCCATTCCCAAGACGTCCAAAAATCCAAAACCGCTAAGGTCCGCGATGTCTTCTCAGCAGGTCGGGCAGTACATGGCGGCATGTGGATTTGCCGACTATGAGCACCTCTTTCAGGACTGACTCAGCAATGTCTTACCCCACCATACCACATAGATTCAACATGCCCAGAAACCCTAGGAACTGGAGCAGCTGGAAGACTGTGTATCCCAACACCGAAAGCCATGCAAATACGTGAAGCACACTTTTTTGAGAGCTCGTCGAAGCGTTCAGTCAACAAGCTGAACTTGTACTGCTTGGCAATCCTGGTGCGCAAAGCCTGCTGTTGATTCATGCAAGCAAGAAGGCTATATTAAACAATTGTTTTAAAAGGCCTTTCAGGAACTACCCTTGCTAGAAAAATTGATCAAGATCCAAGCCATTGAAGCGAACATGCCTAAACGGATCTTAGGACAGGTCGCTTCATCTTGCTACTACTAGGCAGAATGTTTTGTTTTCCGGGAGCAAGAACCAGTTAAGTCAAAGAGCTGCAGCTACGGCATCTAAGTGAGTCTAAGGCACCAATCAAATAGAGTCATATAGACCTAGTTTGCAATATATATTGGTATTGGAGGCCATCATTCTTAGGTCGGAGGCCATCGGTAGTAGGTCGGAGGCCATGCCATCACTAGTAGGTTGCAGTCTGCAATCTGTTTGGTTCTCTTTGTAGTCTCTTTCTAGTTCGCATCCAGGAGCACAACATCAGCGGTGATCGGCTCTTACAACTCACCTCTGAGGATTTGAGGAATATCGGGTGAGACGCTGAGAACCATTGGACATTTCGACATCTAATGGGCGTGGAGGTTGTAAATATGGTTTTACGAATCGTGGAGCGATTTGAATTCCAGAGCTGAGCTCACAACTTTGGGCCTTGTCACTTGTCATCCACTTCCAACATAAGTTAGATCCTCCAAAATATCTTAGATCCAAGTAGGTTGGAGGCCATCGCTATTGGGTTGGAGGCCCATGGCTCTTTCGTTCAGATCGCGTCCGGTTTTGGAATCAACTGAGAAGAGCTAAGCGAGGTTTGTGACTGTGGGGGATCGCCTGGTGATGCAGCAGGAGACCAGTCGATGCTACGAGAATGCTATGCCCTGCAATGGACTTATGGACTTATTGCTCCTTACAAGAATGCTTTTCACGAAAGCTAGCGAAGCTAGCTGGAGTTACTCTTGCGATAGCAAGGTTTCTTTCGACCGGGTGCAAATCCTAACCCCTGATTTTTCAGGTCGAAG